GCAACAGCAACAACAACAACAGACAACAATCAGCCTGCATAAGTGGGAGGAACCTGAAAGAAACAGCCTCCTTCACCTACCTGGGAAGCATCGTTTCAACTACAGGCGGACGTATCTGACGAGGATATCAAAGCGAGAATCGGAAAAGCAAGACAAGCTTTCACTACTCTTAAGTCTGTGTGCAGGAGGTCAACATCACTCACCATCAAAAATAAGATCCGGATTTTCAACTCCAATGTGAAGTCAGTGCTACTTTCTATACGGATCAGAGACTTGGCCAACGCGTCATAAAGAGCATCTCAAACAAACTTCAGACCTTGATTAACAGTTGTCTTCGCTCAGTACTTCGCCCAATATCAGATGGCTGGCCAGAAAAGATCAGCCAAAGGGAGAGATCTCTGGCAATGAGCGAACCAACCCAGCAGGAACCGATTGTGAAACAAATAGGCAGGAAGAAATCGAGATGGATTGGCTGGTCATACTCTGAGGAAACAAATCATCAAGTGACATCACTAGACAATCCATTGCTCGAGTGGAACCCGACCGAATGGGAAGCGGCGAGTTGGTCGTCAGTGCAAGGGTGGGGTGACTTGGAGGAGGTCATGTGAGGAGGAGATGAAATCATGTGGGCAGACTTGGAGCGGAGTGTAAAAGCTGGCAGAAAACAGAAGGAAATTGAGACGTGAGGCTGAAGCCCTATGTTCCTCTAGGAATTAAAGGATATAATAATGATTATAATTCTGAACGCTGGATATTCTCTGAAATACATTTTCTTTCCTGAAAATAGCGGTTCTCTTGTCCGCAAAATCAAATAGAAATACACCTTGTGGATTTCACTGTTCACCGAAATTTTCACTCTCCTCTGAAATTTAAGAGGCCGTCATATAATGTAAAGAATACAACCGGCACAACACGCAAGAAGAGAAGAAGAAGACCCATGGCGCACTTTGTGAAATGGGTATATTTTTTCATATTTGACAAAATTTCTTGTTTTGTGTCAAAAAAGCATAGTGAATCTGTACTTTATATATATATGCATGCATACTTTTACAAGTGAATGTAACATGAAATAACAATTACATGAACAATAATATTGATCATTTGAGATAAATATCGAGTTTTCTGTTTTAATAATAAATCATATTCATTATTGTTGTTGTGGTTTCCTTTTTCTTTAAAAACGGGATGTATTCATACGATTTTATATTTTTGCAAAATAAAAGTGATGAAATGATGATTTATGGGAGATAAAATTTCGTGGAAGGGAAAAATTAGATAATAAAACCTGAAATGAATACGAAAATCAAAATTAGAATAAATTTATGGGATAATTTGACGTTGAATAATTTTACAGGGATATTTATTTATTTATTATTTACAATTCGAAAGCATTTGTTAAAGATGATATGCAAAAGATAGATTAGGAATTTATGGATTTATAAGTCCCACAGCAGGTCAGGCTAGCAATAATAGCTGAACCTGTTCACTTTGCACACAGAACTCTGGTCCTCCTAAATAATCTGCTATGGCCTCTGCTGTTTGGAATATTCGGTATATTTACTTACTAATTTATTCAGTACCCGATAGATGATAGCGGAAAAACTCTTCGTCGCCTGTTTATACTAGTTGATTCAATCTATGTAACTATTGATAGTTTTAACTACACTCTTATTAAACCACAACGGTAGAAGTTCCGGAGCAGGAAAAATTAGATTTCTAAGGCAACAGCCAATATAATTATCCCCCCCCGCACCCCACAGGAGCAACTGGACTGATAGATGCTAGACTAGGTACTCCATTTTTCAGTGTGGAATATGTGAATTGTAAAAGTTATTTGAATCGGCTTTCTTGTTGGTTATTATTTTGCTTGGTATATCAGCTCTGAATTGTAGTCATATACACAAAGGTTTATTGTTAACGGAAACAGAAGAATTCTTTTCTGCACTGTGTTTCATCATAAACTTGTGAGGTTGGCTCTAATCAATTGATGTCACATGTACAAGCTTAAGTTCATCTTCATTTACATCTTCTGAAGACGCCACAAGGTTAGCATTGACGAATCTTTTTCTATCATCCATAGAATACTGAATAAATTGCGAAAAGCCTCAATTTACCGAACACTCCAGATAGAAGAGACTATTGTAAATCACTTAAACCAACCAGAAATCTGTGTGTTGAGGGGACAGATCCAGCCATTATTGCCACTATGTCGTGATGTCAAGCCCATAAATTCATAAATTCTGTATTGTTTTTCTTAATTTACCTAATATTTAGTCTACTCTTATGTTGATGTATATTATCACTTACTGATGCTTTCGAACTATAATCTGTTGATAATAGTTGATTCGATATTATTTGAAGTGTTGATGTTGTTAATGTCAATAATTCCTCAGCTACTATGAATGCATATAACTGTAGTACCCGGTGCAGAAGAAGAAGCCATCGAAAATGTGAATATTCCTTATTCGCCAGTCAAACTTTCGAATTTTTTTATGGGCATCTTTAATCAGTTAAACAAAAATTAATAAAACCAGTACGCTTAACTGAATTGGCTGCTGAGCAGGTTTCGTGGAGTTAATCTAAAGTATCTTGAACTAAAGTTAACGTACAAAGGTATTTAACAAAGAAAAGACGTGTCCGAAGTCAATATCGTAAATGTCTCCGTGAAAGTGATACCGAAAGGGCGTCTGGAATCCTTTTGTCCAAAAAGTTAAACACCCAACAAGTTGGTCTTTGTCATTTTTTCGTTAAAAAGTTGTGAATGCTAATGAGTCAAATTATCACTATTATCTGTTTCAAGCATAATTAAAAAAGCTGTAATAAAGGAAGACTATCCACCGCAAAATTCAGGAAATAATGTCTACTGTGTATATTACTGATTGATTGATATGAGTGGTGGGACAGCATCTACAACAACTGGTAGTATTTGCCAGGCACCCAGATCAAAGTGATCTCAGAATCCAACAGCTGTTTTGCTGGTTTGAGACCGAAATTATTAGGGCTGTACTGGGTTTGAATCAGCTAAGAGAACTCGATAACATCGAACCACCCGGATTCAGGCTAGCTACTTGGTGTTTTTCTTCTCGGCGTTCTGAGTGGAACATAGGGCTTCAGGTTTCAAAATTTCAGTAGCGGTATTGCTGCTGATTATTCGAACTGGGATTACTAGCCATAAAACCAACCTTCCCCCTACCCTCTCCTAGTAAATTAGAAAAGGCTAAAAAGTGAGTCAGCTGGGAATGAAGCCATGGATCATGCACGTGGTCAGCGATTATTCCACAACTAAACCACCGAAGCTATCTACTTGGACGAACTAGTGATACACTAAGTCAAATCCACAGTTTGAAAATTTTTGTCCTTTATTCGAATTTTACACCACTAGAGTTTCCTTTGGAAAATGAGTTAAACAACTGATGAGCTCGGCCTCAAACTGACGAAACAGGATCCCTGTGTTTACATCATTCTGATCTAGCTAGCAGTACTGATTGATTAGGGTGGTATCGAATCAATCATCTCAGTCATTCACATATTGTGATTTGAATAATTTCGGTTTCTAAGGGAAAGTGCAGTGAGATTTCACCTCATACTGTGTAACTTACAAACTTTGATTCAATAATGATCACTATTTTTCTTTTGTACTTTCGAATGCAGTCATTTGTAATGTTTTTTAAGAAGTTGAGTCTTAAACTACTTATAATTTGCTAGTAGGCATAATAATAAGTTTAAATTTTCGACTAGTCGAAAGTCGCTATCAAACGCCTGTTATCCCATTTGTGTGTTCAGAAAAAAGCAGTTGTCAGTCTTTCTCTGTCTTGGTGACTCGGTGTCTTTACTCTATCCTGTTTGTGATTACGTAACTTTGGCCTTAATCTCTTCCTCATTGCTACAGTATGTGAACCCACTACGTTTCCACTCACCTTAATAGTTACTCATCATTATATCCACCTCTTGTCTCTACAGTACGACTACCTCTCCTCTGCATCCATGTCTTCATTTTTATTAAACTCTGTGTGTATAAGCTGTATAGTTTTAGTTTCCGAGCTGGGTTTATTAAGCCTTAAGTCTCTTATCAACTGACACTATGTAACATTTGCACATATTTAAAAAATTTTGCTGTACATAAACTTATTAACTTCTTTAGGCCGCACAGCACTGATGAGAAACTGGTAAAAATAAACTATGGTAACAACTTACTGTGTACAATCCTCTGCTCTTACTTTATTTAAATTCATAATGGGGAATAAGTGTATGAAGAATCCTTAGAATTCAAGAGTTCTGGGTTCTACAGGGAATGAACTTAAGATCTTCATGTCATGAGGCGAGCACATAGCTATTCAGCTACTAGGTCAGAACAAATTACACATGAATTCTAATTTCTGTCAGTTTGTGATTTATTACTACTGCCACCTCATGATCTAAGTAAGTAACCATCCTCGACATTAATTTGATAGGGTATCATTTATGTATTCATTCAGTATTCGAAAGGAAATCATATCATCTACAAATGTATTACTAAAAGAAACAACTTCATTGATTTCATCGTCAGTGCTAGTGAGAAATTCTAGTAATCATTAATATTATTTAAAGCAGCAGATTTGCAAGCCTTCATATTCGTAGTATGCATTGGTGGTTTGCGGTAGAACTCTAGTCGACCACTCCTTATGCTGTCCGGAGTTCGATTTCCGCCCGGATCACTCCTAAAGCCCACTTAGTTGACAGTAAGCCTGGAGAAGACGGGAGGTTTTGAGTGACGCCCACCCAGTAAGAACAACACCACCACTCCTAAAGCTTCAAAAAAGCTTGAAGCCGCATGTTCGACTGCAAACGCAAGGAATGAGGAGGAAGATTCATTTCACAAAACTTCTTTTAAACGACAATTACTGCTGTCAGGCTACACACGATTTCAATATACAACTAAATATGAAGGGTTAAAAACATTGGTAGTTGAAGATTACTTACATAACTGGTATATATATATATATATATATATATATATATATATATATATATATATATATATATTTACGAAGATAAACGTTTATTCATACGTGTCGATCGTCGATGTGGATAGAGACTGGTACGTAGGGAACGAGTTCTCAGTCGTTTCTCAAACTGTCTTCTTACCTGATAGTAGTCACAATCACAACAAAAAATAAAACGAAAGCATAGTCAGTAGATCAGAAAATTCTTGAGATAAATCAGCAATGGTAATGTTTATATATATATATATATATGTGGTGAGAGCACCCTGCTAGCCAATTGGTTGACATTAATCTACGTCAATGTCTAGGTCACTAATATGGGCCGTGAGAAAATATGAACAAGGCTGTTTCAACAACCAATCACAGCAAACTTAAACGTCGGAAAATATGATTCGCTGATAGATGGCTCCACTTTCCGAGGAACTCGAAAACAACCAATCAGAAGACCGCGTTTGCCTACTTGACTAGGCTATAATGATGTATGTGAAATTTATATAAATACGTGTCGATTTCCGTAATAAAACGATCTGTTGCCTGGCCCTTGTCTTCTGTTGTTACATATATATATATATATCGTTAGACGCTATATGTGGCTAATCGACCGAAGTTATCATTGATGAGTCACTGAACCCCTTCACAGTGGATGAATGGTACACGAGCTCGCCTTGATATTTGAAGGTCCTGGGTCCGACCCCTAGTTGAAACACATTGCGCACTGATGTAGGGCCCCACATAGGGGGAAAAAAGCAGCCGCGCGGTGCCCTCTGGCCTTCAATGGTTCTTCAGTTCATGATCAAAAGTGAAATCAACCTTATCTCTGCAAACCAGCACATGGGCAGTGATCTGTGTTCTGTGTACACGTAATTGTGGCTGCATTCATGATTTAGTAATCATCTCGGGCTTTGGGTACTGAGCAAAATCTACCTACTAAAACAGTCACATGATCACTACTCCAAGTGACACATCATCATATTGTCTTGCTTTTCAACTACTGAATGTAAAGCATTAATTAGCAGAAATAATTGACTTAAGGACGAATCATACCAGGAGTTCGGTATATTTTGTCGCTAAAATGTACAATTACTTAAAACAAGTGGGCATGCAAAAGTCCTTAACGTTAAAGCTAAATACTAGGCAAGCTGTGGAACTTTTATTAGATCTATAGAGTTATTATCTATTAGGTGGTTGGGAGCAGTTGGCAGGACCCCCTGAACCTAGGTTTCATGCTTGCTGGTATTTGTCAGAAAGGCATTTCTGGAATCTTGAAGGAACTCATGTTTCTCCTGAGATTCGAACGCGGGCCACCTAGTACTGCAGTCAGAGATATTACCACTTAATCTATAGAGGCTTGCGATTGGCCTTCTGTGGGACTGTAATGCATAGTTTGTTTGGCGACTAGATAGTAACTTATTTCAAGCTTCTAGTCCTTCATTTGGTGCAGACTGTTTTGAGCTCGAATCGCTCAGTGGTAACGTCTCTAACTGTGCCACTAGGTGACACAGGTTCAAACGTCAGAAGGGACATAATTTCCTTCAAGATTTAAGATACGCCTTTCTGATGACAAGTACCAAAGAGCACGAAACCTGGGTCCAAGAAATCCTGCTGACTGCCCCAGCCATCTGACAGCAGATCAGAGTGCACCATGATGGCAAGCTATCTAGCATGGTTGCCACATTGCGAACTTATTTAAAGAGTGAATGGTTGACAATTAACGATCATCGTCGTCATCATTGCACAAACTGACCACCTGTAACTGCTCGACTGACTTAGATTAACGAACAGCACATCCATCGTGGTTATTAGCAAAATTATCTAAAATAAAAATAACACACAGGTAGTTAGACAGAGGAGCTGTTTTCCACGAATTCACTTTCTTCAGCTTTACAGTTGCATTTATATGCAATTTTTTTCACGAAAGAGAGTAGTAACAAAAGTAATGAGCTATTTTAGTCACTGTAATTAACACTAATCAATGAGTTTGACCGCGGATTTTTATCGGTGAGAGAAATATTGAAAACGAGCGCTGGAGTACTGGACAGCTGTTTCATCCTAGTTTGGGAATCACCGGCAGTAAGCTCCCACTGCCAGGGTACGAACCCAGGACCTTCTGATTACAAGGCAAGATAGTGTACCATTTAGCCTCTTGGACTCGAGTCTTCAATGGCCAGCGCATGAATTCTAACTTCTACCAATTCGTGATTTAGCGCGACCACCAACCAAGGTCATCAGTGGGAAATCCATCCTTACGCCTGACTGGTTGGACCTTACTGGTCACGACTTCTCACTAGAACTTCATCAAACTCCATCCTGTAGCGAGTCCCTAGCGATGTCACCACCACTGCCGATGATTCCCAAAACTAGGATGAAATAGCTATCCAGTACCACCTGGTTTACAATGTTTTCCCTAATTGATATCAATTCGTGGGCAAACTCGTAATAACTCGTAATAATTTAATCCTTACAAACCAACTCTTAAAAATTAATCAGTGAATAAAAGGGGTTGAACAAGAATATTAGGAAAATATGAATAATTTAATGAGTTAGTTGTAGTCAGGGTGAGTATTAGAAACGAAGAAAAATGTGATACTACGTAATGGTTTGAGTGAAATGCAAACTTTATAAGGCAAACAGACAAAATCATTTTGCTATAAGACAAAAAAGTTGTTATCATGATAGTAGTAGTTGAGTAAGTATTTAACTGGTGGATGGTGACTAGCAGTGGAATCCAGGATAAAGCGCATTTCGTCCTATTTGGGGCTCGTCAGCTGGATGTACCTGCATTTCTCAGTGAGTGATGATGTTCCCACCGAGGCTCGAACCCAGTACCCATAGTTTCAAACGCCAAAGCATTATCCACTAGACCACTTAGGCCTCGGTGGGGACGTCACCACTCACTCAGAAATGCAGTTACATCCAGCTGACGAGTCCCAAATAGGACGAAATGCGCTTTATCCTGGATTCCACTGCAAGTCACCATCCACCAATTAAATACTAACTAAATGCTCAGACATCGTCGAAGCATCTGCACAAGAAGCCGACATGTCAACCTGAGACCGAGCACTTCGGTCCAATCAATCGACGGGAAAATCAAAAATTCAATTCAATAGTAGTTGAGTAATGGCGCAGTTCCACTGCTTCTATCTGAATGGCTAGAACTTCACCACTACAGAGGAGACGAAAGAGTATTTTCTTTGACAGGTTGTTCTTTATTTTGTAGATTTTACTTTTGATTGGACACTCAGACAATAGTTGCAGATACGTCTTGCTGACAAGTGAGTGCCAACTAGCATGAAATCTAGATCCAAGGCTTCCTGCCGATTGCCTCCTACCATCTACTACTTTAAAGATAACTTTGATTGAAGCGTTTGTTGAGATGTAATGACCAGCGTTGACAAGTTGTTCGATTATCGCACTCTTTACAAAGCCATCACTACATTTCTGCAGGATAATCTTCTTGAAACCTTTTAAATAGGTTATGCATCGAACTATCAATATACCTGGCTCTACAGGAACAGATAAAATGACCATATTCGAGACCTTGTATTTGAGGCTTCTGCAGACCAGTGACGACTAGAGAACACTACTCTTAGAGTTGCTGCTAAGACGAATAGAGGTATCTAATATATTAGCTGAGTTGTCCATTGCCTTAGTATTATTATATCCGAGCATAAGTCCACTCGGTTGTATCAACGCGATCACGCGATCAGTAACCCTGGTGATTCAGTTCACTGTAGTCATTTCAGAAATCAAGGTTCATGTAAAGTTTCTTTTTCGCTACAAATGATGTTTCGTTTCTCTTAACTTTTGGTTTGATATTGTTGTTGTCAGTAAATCTAGGTGAATTTCCATTCAGGATGAAGTTTTCTTTCAGAAGGTCTGACTTTTCTTCTACAGCGTTAGGGCTGCGAAAGCATCGGATACCAGCGGAATCCTGATAACAAATGATTCATTAAATTATTTATCTTACTGAGTTACTACTCCAACACCCTTATTCAACATTTCTTATGCATTGATTCAAATTAACATCTGTGATTATGACAAATAATCAATGTTACTATCCTCTCGTGTAAATAAATGAGATTGTAGAGCTAAATATAATGAATTCATCGACAACAGCCTCTTCTTCTCTGAACTACTTTTATTTTTCTTCTCATTATTGTCCAGATGGAGATCATTCGTGCACTCTCTGGTGTGGCCACCAGACTACCGGTGTAAAAAATTTCCCTCTCTTTGTATTACTTTCAGATTATACTACTTTATAAAGCAGTTTAATACAGGACTTAAAAAACTTTTGTTCTTAGCAACTTTACCTCTTTTGTTAAAAAACAATAGAGCAGAGTGACCCATATACCCTAAAAAACAAGAAGAAAAACGGAAAAAAATGACAGTGAGCGTAAAAATTCAGTTTGATCAGTGTACCTGATGGTTCAGTGGTAGAATGCTGGCGAACCTCGCCTCATGTGGTCTGACGTTTGATTCCCGGCCAACTCACTAATAAGAGTCACTTAACCCCTAGTAAGTTCGGGAGGGAGGGAAGGTTGATCGTGTGGGGGTCAGCACCCCACCCCTCGAAAGAACAACATCGCTACTGAAAATACAAAGCTCAAAGCTTGAAGAACTATATTCCACTTAGAATGCAAAGGAATAAAAGATGTACTCGCCACACTGTGTAATCCTAAATAAATCTCATGGTGACTCATAACTGTTCCTATCATTCAACTTCATTAAATAGAAAATTCAAATTTACTAGTAAAATATAAAGAGTTTCCAATGGTTCTCTAACTAATGTCAGCTCATGATGAAATCCTGAAACCAAACAAATCCCCACAAACCAACACTTGAATAAAGAGTTATTGTATTCTCCCTTCTTAGATGAAATGACATTTCCTAATCTAAGAGGAGTGACTATGGAATGATTCTATTTTGAGCGAATTCTATACTGCTTTCACAGAATCATATTTTGAAAGCTAAGCACCGAGGCTGATTATACACGTTTCCTAAGCTTTGTACAAAATAAGGCGCAATTCGATTAGACATTTAGCATTTATGCGAACGTCAATTACTACTGAAAGAGAGAGAATTAGCTTCAAATCAGCCAGGATACTTTAATTAAAAACAGATATCCAAAGAAGTTCATAAAAGAAAGCACAGCTTATAACGGTCGTAACCACTAACTGGTAACTGTGGAGAAAAAGGCATTATTTTTGTATCTACAGTTGAAGAGACATACTCTTACGGAGATTCTAACCCAACGTCTATCCAGACCAATTAATAGGAAGTTCTACTCTGGATATATGTTCCTATTTTTCAGTGACCGACCAATATTGATTCCAAAACTTAAAGAATATAATTTCATTTTGTAATTATTCTCTTGGGTTCCAAGTCGAAAGTAGGGCTTCAACAACACACTTGCATTTCATCTAGTCCTCTGGCGTCCTTCTCACCTGACTGCACGACTTCCCATAAACTATTCTCTCATCCTCATATGATCTCCTCCACGTAACAGTCAGATCAACGCCCAATTCGTCATTTACCATTCGGTGGCCACTCTACGGCCTGACACATGATGTCACTCAATGTCTTCTTCAGCATGTGTCCAATCAATCTGCATTTCGTCACCATATTTGTTGGTCAATAGGTTAGTGGTTAGTTCGTTACTAGACTTTCTTGTTGTTGATTTCTTCAACCGACCATGTGACCTGAAATATCCAGGTAGCAAAATTATCTGTTAACAAAGCGTCTGTAGCTGTCTGTTGGGAATGCTTTCAGTGACGCGTTTGTCAAGACTCTGAACTGAGTGACTGATTGACTTGACAGTAGGGTTTAGAATAAGAATCGTGTTCCTTATGTTGAGTGCAGTAGATTTCCATACCGGTTCTAGATTAACGAAAGTCTGTTTCGCTTTTCTCATCCAGTCCTTGACGTCTTCATTTGTGACATCTGTAGCTGAAACAATGTTTCCTGGATGCATAGAGGAAGTGACTCGTCAAAGTTTCGCCCGATTCTGGTGATTGGTGCCTGTTTTTGTCGACTTTTGGGTATCCTCATCACCTCTGGCTTCTCCGTGTGTTCACTTTATTCCCTTCCTAACAGCTTCTTCTGCAAACTTGTTGCTTTTTTATGGCATTAGACACAAATCGTCTAGAATTTTCAGATGTGATAGAATCTTCTTGTTGGTCTAACCTATGACTGTCCTGTCTCTCCTCGATGTCTCCCGCATGATCCAGTCCACCAAAATTAGGAACATCATGGGTGATAGTTAACAGTCTTGTTTTATTCCTGCCTTTATATCGAAAGCTTCACTGAGTTTTCCGTAGTGGATTACTTGACATTTGTATTCATCTTATAGGCGTTGAATGAAGTTGATAAATGTGTGCCTTACTGCACTGCGTAGTATTGAGGCAGTTTTCTTTGAGTTTGCTTAGCGGTCAACGCTGTCGAAGTCTTTTTCACAGTCGATGAAGTTGAGACACAGATTTGACTGCCATTATATCGTCTGTTGAATGAGAATAAGCAAAGTTTCAATTTGATCAACACAGGATTTGCTTTGCTGAAAGACATCTTACCTAACCTCATATCCTCTTCACTCGCTTAGTATTTTAACTGATCTTGTGTTACAGGTTATATAAGGCGTACGATCAGACAAGTTCGCCTCTAAATTCAGGGACATTCACTAGCCTGGTTTAGGAAGGTGGAAAATTAAACGCATAAAAACTTGAATTTTGTCTCAGTTGGTAAACACAGGGCATCACACAGGCACTGATGTAGTCTTTAGGGTTGTATGTCGTATTCCAAAGACATCACAAAAAGTTCACCCACGTCCTATACACATAGCTGAAGTTGTTGCAGTAATACTGACTCTGTACTGTAAAAGAGCACCTTTGGAAGTTTTTCCTTCCTTGAGCATCCTTGGATTGAAATTCAAGCAATCGTCAGTATGATCAATTTCAATCTATTCAACTTACCATGTGTGTCACACAGATACTACTTATTTTATCAGCTTGAAATTAATCCGCTTCTCTAGGCACAAATATATTCAGTATAATTTAAGATGAGAAAGATTTTATTTTATAACTCTAAGAATTTGAAGAGAATTTACTGAAAAAACGTATTCTTTCTTCAGACCGACTTTCAGTTCATGGCATGGGAATAATATTCAGCACTGTTAAGTTGAACAGAGAAGACAGGACTAATACAAGGATGGCTGCTATCACTCTGATGTTATTCATGACTGTGATCAACTGGCTCATATGGAGCCATATAACATGTGTACGCTGGACTGACAAGAAGACTAGATGATCTGAACTTCGTGGATGGTATATGTATAATGTCACAAAAACCGAAGATCTACAAGGAAAAACAAACAAGTTTGCAGAAGAAGCAACAAAGATGGAAGTTCAGGTAAACACAAAGAATATAAAGGTGATAAAGGTACCCAACAACAACAACAACACCAACAATGACTAATCACAATCAACCGGAGAATTTACCTTTTTCACCTACCTAGACAGCATCATTTCATCGGAGGATGTCAGAGCAGGCCGAAATGGAGTCATAAAAGTAAGACAGGCTTTCATTACTCTGAAACAAATGTGAGAACCTGCTTCACTCAGCATAAAAGGCAAGATCCCGATTTTTAACACTAATGTCAAGTTGGTGAGTTTTGCTGTTTTATTCAAAGACTCGGTGCATCAGAAGCATTTCTAAAAGGCCACAGACTTTCATCAACAGCTTCCCTCTTATGTCGATACTGAAGACATGATAGCTGGTTTTAAAGGAATAGCAACAAGGAACTCTGGAAACCGGCTAACCAGTGGCCTATTTCCCAACAAATAAGCCTAAGAAAATTGAGATGGATTGAATGCACACAGAAGAGACCATTGAGTGGCATCATCCGCCATGCCTTCGGGTGGAGCTTGAATGGGAAGGGATGAGTTGGATGTAGGTCTGAAGTTGATATGCAGGAGAGTGAGTGAGAATGTAAAATAAAAGCTGAACAACTTTAGAGAACACAATGAGATGGGAATGTGCTGTTGACCACCTACGTCCCTTTAGTAACCCAAGTGAATATTATTAATGATAATAATAATAATAATTTTTTCCTTCACGTTCCCAGTGGAACATACGGCTCCAAGCTAGTGGCTTAAAGTTTCTGTAGCAGTGTTTAATTTTTACAGGATGGGGTTGCTACCCTCATGCCCAACCTTTCCTCTTTACCAGTAGTATATCTGGCTTAGCGAGGTAAAGGAGTGCGCCGGCCGGGGATCGTACTACAGACCATGTGTATGGTCGGCGAGCGTGCTAACCGCTATACCACCGACGCACTATTAATGGTAATAATAATAATTTGAATATTGACCATTTATGCTGTATATTAGATTTCACACGAAAAATTATGTCTATCATTAAAAATTCATAAAATTTTCTATTTGTTCTACTTACTTGAGTTGATGTTAAAAATGCATTTATAATATCAAATGCCGGTTTTAAATAAGGATGGTAAGGTGTAATGAAGATAATCTCTGGTATACCAAGTAAAGGCATTAATGTTAGACTGGCTTTCACTGTTTTCCTGAAATAAGAAAAGGTAAGGAACATCTGATAGCTAGAGTATAATGCTGGAATTAGAACAGAAAAGGTGTAGACAGGATTAAAAGAGATATCCTGTAATGGACTATTGTTATTAAATTAATCAAAGCAATCAAAACTCAATTGTTCAATTAAATGACTTACAGATATAGCACATCCCATCTGTTGTGATAATTCGATATTGTAGAACAATGAGTCACCGGTATTAAATTGGTGGATGGTGACTAGAAGTTAAATAATCAGACATCGTTCAAGCATGTGCACAAGTAGCTGACATGTCGACCTGAGACCAAGCACTTCAGTTCGGTCAATCGACGGGTAAGTTCAAAGTGAATTAAAGAATGAGTCATCAGAATACTTAGAATACCATGAATGAGATGAAATGTGACTTCATTCCATTTGTTTTTAGGTCAATTTGTGTTTCTCGTCGACTGATTTATTTTCACGTTCCCAGTGGAACATAGGGCTTCGAGCTAGAAGCTTGAAGTTTCTGTAGCAGTGCTTATTTTTACAGGATCGGATTGCTAGCCTCATGATCAACCTTTCCTCTTCACCAGCTTTACTTCTGGCTGAGTGAGGTAAAGGAGTGTGCCGGGCGGGGATCGAACCCCAGACCATGTGCATGGTCGGTGAGCATCCTAACCACTATGCCACCAACTGATTATGCTGGACTGAAGTACTTGGCCTCTCTGCTGACGTGTCGACTAGCATTGAAGATGCTGCGATGATATCTTGGGATTAATCTGAAGTTATTTTGGTTGACGGTGAGTAGCAGTGGAATCTAGGACGTGCATTTCACTCTGTCTACGATTCGTCATCACCTTCCATTGAACTTTCTAATATACTAACACTATGAACACTAAGAAAAATGTTTTCTTTTTGGTCGCCATAGAATCTTTGTTCATCAATACTCCACTTTCCAAGATTGTTGATCCCATTCGCACTCATATTACAGGCAATAAAATACAATCACATATACTTGCCAATTACATAAGAGACATTTTCTTGATATGTACACAAATGATCAGATTCAATTTCCAAAGCAAACATATGAACAAGGTGATGGTGTGGAATGGGGAGCCGGAAAAATTAAGCTACAAAGATCCATGGAATGGAGACTTACTACTAGCCTTGAAGTGACCAATTAGAAAAATCAGAGGTTTTTACATAAAAATTACGTTTATTTACAACAGTAATACAGCGAATAATGAAAAAACACACGTTGAACAGGATATTTTGCTGTAACGTGGCTTATGAATATCTCCCAGTTATATAATGAAGAGTATCAGCTTTTATGTATGACCAGTCTCTATTTACGTATTCATCGAGGTGACTGAAGGTGAGTTCTTTTTGTGACCCACTTGTCTCCCTTATTGTGTTTCTCAGTCTTCCATTGAATTTGTATGGGTTCTCGTTAAAGGACCAACGACTGTTTACTAGAAAAATGGAGATAATAAAAATAAAACACTCTAACCCTAATCCTAACCTTGGTCCTAACCCTAACTTTAATCCTAAACAATGAAGACCTATCAACACATTATCCAAACAGTATTTAAAAAACGAGATCGGGATGAAATTTGCACCTCAGTTGCTTTATTAAGGCCCTAAAATAATGGCAGGTATGCGTTTAAAGTCAGTAGTGCGTTCACACTCTTGGATAGCTATACTTCAAGTTGGCTGGGCAGTTCTTTTGAACCCTTGTTAGCAGATGTATTTATGTCGAAATTGTAGGAAAAAATAGAAGTTATACTGGCAAACTTTACTCTGTATGAACTTTATGTGGTGAGAATAATGAGTCAACTGACAACTTCATTACAGTTTAATAATATTCATCCAAATATTCGATTGACTTTCTAATTCGAAATGAGTAAGAAACGGCGCTTCATAGTTGTTTCAGAGACGAGGTGGGACGACGGAAGAATTACGTGATCCATATTTCACAAGCAAATATGGAGTGGACGGTATTTTCATTTCAGGTGATTTTTGGTATCTGGTATCAACATTTCCCAGTGAAATGCTTATTTCCAGCGGCCCGTAAAATTTGCACTTGTGATTTATTAGCAGATGAGCCCCGATGTATATATTCCTTTTCACTAGCTAAGGCATATCCTGAATACTTCAATAAAGAGACAGCGTCTTAAAAAGACAGCTTCTGTACCAAAAAAAGCTATCCTCATTAACCTACCTACTATTCAAGGGTGATCAAAACATGCAGTTCATAGCTGGCTCAAAGACTTCGGTCAGTCATCAAGCTCACATTCTATGCCACCACATCTCTTTCCCTCACATGACGAACATTTTCCATCCCTGTACCTACCTACGATTAAAGGACGAAATTCTGTGGACTCTACTTCAAACTGTATCTACAAGTTCACGTGCAGTTCCGGTGACACTTATATATGAGTAGAACCAATAGAATGTTCCAATGTCGTTGGAGAGGACATATTCCTGAGTGGTTACACACAGGTCACACAGAAAACCCAAACGTACTTAACCTGAATAGAAATGCAGAATCATCGATTGCAAAGCACTCATTAATAATGTCTCGTCACAAAGTCAATATTAATGACTGTTTCACAATTATTTTACATAATCTATAATTCAAGGTTCGCTAATGAAGGTGATGGAAACACTTTGGGAGATTAATCACATGGATACCTACCAAACTATGGGTACAGAAAACAGTAGACTTCAATCTTTGCCTAGCATGGACTACTTGACCTATTTGATGAATATGATTGTTTGTTAGTATATACTATACTTTTGCTCAATATAACTGAGTAATTGTCATGCATTTTATTTTATTCTGTTATTGTGAACCATGTTAGTTGTAGAGCGGTTGTAAGGAAACTACGAAATGACGATATCATCTCGTGCAATTTGTCTTCTTAATGCCTTATTTCAAGTTTGACCAGGGATTAATATCAATAAGATAACCATTGAGAACCAACCAGGGAGTAGTGGACAGCTGTAGCGTACTAGTCTCTAGGGACTCATCATCACTACGCACTCAGCAGGGTTCAAATCTAGGATCTTCTGGTTACAACGCAGGATCGTAGGATATTCAGCCACTAAGACCTGACCCAAATAGCTTTTGAATTATACTTTCTGTCAATTCATGATTTTAGCACTGCCACCAGCCAGTCTCATCAGTGAGTATTTGTCCTCACTCCTGACTGAATGGAGCCCACTGGTTACAACTTCTCATTAGAAATCCTGAAAATTAATGCTTTATTGAAATATATGAAGAAAGGAATGTACATAGACTGGAGGTGAGCTGAAAAGACTGCTAAGTGACTCCACAAACCAGCTAGATTCTCGATTGAAATCCGAGTGGGAAATAACGATTTGGCCGTCTGTGGATAATGTCAAAGAGATTGTATGGGGGGAGGGGGAAATGGATGCTTACGGGTAATTGTGAAGCTATCTAGGACAGGCTGCAGAGAACCAATGTAACATGCTGTTGAAGCTGGGTGTTCCACTAGAAATTCAAGTTTCAATCGGGTAGTGTACTGTAATATCATGTTGTCCAGTTAATTGATCATATTTCACACTAGATCTGAATGCTTCCGACAATATCATGGACTGAACAGAGTCACTAGTTAAGGCTGGGTAGTTTTTTTGTGGAGGATAGCTTTTTATCCTGCTCTGAATAAACAAAACACCCCAAAAATCTTATTTAAAAAATCAAAAGAAATGAGGAACTTACACAAACTCTTGTCCACTGATACGACCAATTAATTTAGCTAAACGTATTCGTGTTGTGCCAGGCAATTCAAATCTGGATATATCACTGACTTGTGAAGACCGACATGAGGCATCTCTACTCATCGCATTCATCAGGGTTAGTTGATTCGGCGATTTCTGATAGAAACCATCGGCGAGATTTTGTTCATCATAGGTTTCGGTTATTGTCGCCACTGCAGCCGCAGCTACTACAGAGGATGACGTTGCATTGGGCAGTGACTGAAAACGTCTTTTATGACGTGGTATGTATAACTGATTCATATCTGGCCTGTCGATATTTTTGTTATTGTTGACATTATTTCTCTTACTACCACTACTATTAGTATTAGTAGCGGTGGTATCTTGGTAGTTACTCGAGGTTAACTTGGATCTACCTCGGAATGACAAGGATTTTCGACGTGTAGGCGATAAATGAGAATGATAATAGGAGGGGTTACGCTTATTGGTCAGTGATACAAATCCTCCACCAGGATAATCATCAAGATTTGGCAGTGGTTGTAGGGCAGAATCATCATCTATTGATGTGTAGTCCTCATAATCATCAGTGAATAAATTAGTTAATCTTCTACAGTCTCGCTTTTGCGGCTGCTGTTGTGGCAGCTGTGAATCAGAATCACGACTGAGATTATTTGTAACACTATGCGTGTTAGTGACAATTACACGTTTACGCAATTTATCATTCAATGCGTATAAAATGGCGATTAAAAATATAACATTCAACTAAAGATTGCATGAAATAAACAAATAAATAAAAACAAAACAGAGTTAATGGCTACTTAAATAAAGAGATAAATTTTTATACAATGATTATATAAGCTAACATTGAAAGTTATCTATTTTCTTGCATAAATGCATGAGACTATACTTGACTGATTTATCGATTGACATGAGTTGTTGTATAGCACTCACATCAACCAGTAGGGCACTGAAAACATTTACTTCCCAAGACGAACTTAAAACAAGCAATAAAGGTTAATAAAGCAGGATGACTTAATGAATTCATCAAATTTCGGTAGACCTCGTCAGCTGCTGAATACTCCACATACACATACATATACATATACACTAGTGAAATTATATTGGGAGATATAAGACTGATAAGATCATTTACAGGACCCTAGAAAACCAGGGATTACTAGGCAGCTGTTTCATCTTAGTTTGTGACTGTTAGGCAGTACTCACCTACAGCCTCATCGGAGGTGGAATCCAGGACATTCATATCCCAGTTGACTGTTCAGCCATTGAAACAGAACTGGATGCTCATGTTTAAGAGTTACAGATTAGGACGGAACAGATGTCCAGGAATCCCTGGTTTTCAGTGATTCTCTGACTGAGGTATTAGTTCAACATCTTAACTGAGATTCATATTACACCTTTAACTGTCAGTAATCTTCAGTCTTCACTGAAAAACCTCTTATAGTGACTATTTCTACTCCAGAGTAACAGGTCTAAATAGTACGTCAAAAGACCTAAATAACGAAATGAAACAGACAGAAGAGGTACTGGCATTAAATAGCTATCCCATAAAATTCATAAAGAAAAGGAAAAATAATAGTGGAACTATTGGCCACAACATAAATTAGAAAGAATTTAAGGCTACTACTGTTTTACCATCTAAAGGACGCACAATTGATAACCCACTCAAGATTCATGATAAAGCAGGAATATGGGTAGCATTTAAACCCCAAAATTCACCCAGGGCCAAGCTGTTCAGGTTAAAGGACGCTATTAACCCAAATAGACAAAATGATTTAGTCTACAATGCACGTTGCAATGAATGTGAGGTCAGGTCAGTTACATAGATCATATTATCAGAACATTAGAATTTAGCAAAGTGTAGAATAATTAATCTCCCGAAGATGAGTAATTTAGAAGAAAACTCGACAACTGCAATGCATGCAGTAAAACGCCATCACACAACGGGGGGAAGGCAGAGTTCTAGTACCTAAAATTAATGTCGGTAGGTGGAAAGATAGGCTGACCAATAATTAATGTCAGTAAAAAGTTTGAGTATTGTGGAATAGATCACATAAAGTATAATTATATTTCCATAGTTTACACACAATGATAAGGTTTGTTATTGGTAATATTTCGAGCAAAATTACCAATAACAAAACATTTCATTGTGTATAAACATTTCAAATATAATTATGCCTTTATTTGACCGATAACTCTTTGTTCATCGAATCTACACCTAACGCATGTGTAATATCAATGATTTCAGGATTTCATCATGAGCTGACATTAGTTAGAGAACCATTGGAAAACCTTGGAGTACTGGACAGCTGTTTCGTCCTAGTTTGGGACTCTTCAGCAGTACGCACCCACCGGGATTCAAGCTCTCCTTGTAACCAGAAGGTCCTGGGTTCGAATCCCGGTGGGTGCGTACTGATGAGGAGTCCCAAACTAGGACAAAACAGCTGTCCAGTACTCCCAGGTTTTCCAATGGTTCTCTAACTTATGTCAGCTCATGATGAAATCCTGAAACCAATCAAATCCCTACAAACCAGCACTTGAAAACTAATATCAATGAATCAGCACCAATACCAGAGATATGGGAAATATTGCGCTATGAATAACATCAAAACATAAAAAATAGCAGAAGTTATGCGAGTGTCTTGATATGATCACGAGCAGCGATAAATTGTGATTCAAACGTCATGAATAAATAATACTCGATCATTAAAAATTATTCTGTGATGCAATTATACTGTAGTAAAGTGTCCAAGTTCTATTAATGAATCTACTTATCAGATATTTTATTTGGTTTCAGATAGAAATCTTCTGTGTAAAGTAGAAGCAGACAGAATGCAATGAATGAGTTAGCATTGAGAACATTTATTTCCCGATACGAACTTAAAACAAGCAATAAAAGTTAATAAAACAGGATGACTTAATGAATTCATCGAATTTCGGTAGAACCCCTCCTCAGCCGAATACTCTACATACACGGATATATATACACACTATTGAAATTACATTGGGAGATATAAGACTGATAAGCGAGCAAATAAACTACATTGAATTAGTCATGCAGAAAGACAGGTGCGAATGTTTTCCAGGTCATGTTCAAATAGACAGATGAGGGGAGAGGGAGTATGAGAGATCAAAATTAAGATAAATTGCAATACGCTTCAATTACATCATTTAGATAAACAATTAGTCATTAGAGAATATAACAATAATTGCAAACAGACTAATATCAATAGTAATAGTTATAATAACAATAACAATAATGATGTTGAAGTGAATCAAGATAATCGTACTGATAAAGGATAGTTTTAAATGAATCAATAATAATAAGTAAAACGTATTACCATGGTAGATTGAGAGTGACGACTATCTCCTTTTGTATACAGAGACCTGGTTTATAAATTCGAATTGCACAAGCCTCTGCAATTGCAAGCATCTTCTTGTTTCTTTGTTTGCTGACAATGGTGAATGACTTGACGGCGTCGATATCATGTCCGTAATCCACAAGATGTTTTGTTATTGAGGATTTTGGCACTTTGCACTCAGCTGTTTTCAACCATTTTGGCAAATGCTCCATCATGCGAGTAGACAATCGCCTTTCCGTACGACCTATGTATTTGCTGCCACAAACACACTCAAATTGATATATGCAGTTTGAAGTGTCGAGGATTGGCGACTGGTCTTTCCCAGATTGTTGAAGCACTCGCTTGGTGGTGTTAAGGATAACAAGTTTTGCAGCATAATAAGTTTTGATGGCTTTGTCGAGTCTTCGTTTCACTACTTCCTGTACGTCATCTCCTTTGAATGGCAAATTGATATAGACAGGTTTCTTTGGAACTGTTTGAATTGTTTTGCAAGGGGTAGTTTCTTTAAGTATTTATTAATGAACTTCTCAGGATATCCATTCTTACATAAAATATCCTTCAGAGATTTTATTTCATGTTCAATAGTACTGTCAGAACAAATTTTCCGTGCTCTATTGAACAGTGTTCTGACTAAGTTCTTTTTGTACTGGATTGGAACAAAGCTCTTGAAATGCATGTACTGTCCTGTCCATGAAGACTTTCTAAATATAGATCTTTCGATTGTGCCATCATTCATTTTGGCTAGAAAAACGTCTAGGAATTTAAAGTATCGTTTTCCTCGTGTTCTACTGTGAAATTGAGATTTGGATGGCATGAATTGAATTTTATCAACATGTCTTCCGCTTTTGATCTGCTTTCACAGACAATAAAAATGTCATCAACATATCTTAGGTATACATTTGTTTCTTGTATATGTTGCTGCAAAGTACCGGTTTCTAGGCGTGACAAGAATAAGTCGGCGAAAAGTGGTCCCAAAGGGCTTCCCATTGCGACACCATCAACTTGACGGAACAGACGCCCGTTGAATTGGAATTGGACATTTTTAGTACATAAAAGTAGTAATTTCCTCAATTCCGATTTTTGTCTTCAGCTTCTTTACATATGAAGTCGATAGTTTCAACGACTGGCACATTTGTGAAAAGGGAGGTAACATCGAAAGAGACCAAATGCTTATCGGATACATTGAAATCTTTAATTTGATTGACAAATTGAAATGAATCAGAGACTATATGTGTTCCGAAACGTTTCAGCAAGGCTGCAACAGTTCACATAGCCACTGTGCTAATCTGTGGTATGGTGAGTTTATCATAGAGAGTATGGGTCTTAACGGCGCTCCTGGTTTGTGTATTTTTACGCGTCCGTATAGTTTTGGGATTTGTGACCCAATCGGTTTGATATTTCTATATGTGTTTTCGTCATGTATTTATTTTTGAAGAGTTGTCGTAGATGCTGCACAATTTTCCTTTCGGTTGATAACGTTTGGTCTTTTGCATGGTTATCCAATTTGAATTTAGATTCATCAGAGAGAATTTGATTCATTTTTTCGAGATAATCTATCTTGTTCATTAGCACTACACTTTGTCCTTTATCAGCTTGTAAGATAACAAGATTTTTGTCTTTTCGAGCTTGTTTAAAGATCTCCAGTGTTCTTTGGTGATATGCGACTTTTGATTGGTCGGCATGACTCGAAATTGATGAGCAATATCAACCATCTTTGCTTTCAACCAGCTTTCGCTGTCACTGGACGTGGCATGTAGCCCCATAAGTTGATCATAAAGATTTTCGAATTGGCATTCGATATCAATTTGCTTTATCTTTTTCATGGGAACACAGAATTTGAATCCCAATGACAGAATTTCTGCTTGTTCTTTTGATAGGGAAACATCAGATAAATTAGAACATAATTAGATATATCCACTGGGAAAATTTCATTTGGCGGTTCCGGATGAAGTGACTTCTTCAGTTTCTTTTCTTCTGATTCTTTTGTCTTTTTTGATGTGGCATGCAGATATTTAGTGAATTTAATATAACATACGAAGTTTAAGTCATTTTGTACACTGATCAGTTTGCTTGACAATAGGCATAAATTACTGATTTCATCTGTTTCAGAACACAAATGTGATTCAGCAAGACGGTAAAGATTTGCCGTGTAGGTCTCAATGATCTTTACGCAAGGATTTGTAAAATGTTCGAGGATAAATATTATTCTGGATACATTCCTTCAAAAAATCTCGTCGTGCAGAGTGTTTAGCAATCCTACACTTCAATTTCACTAGATCATTTAGTGCATTGATAGTGCTTTTTGGGAGACGCTTCTTCAAGAATTGAAAACATTTATTGACAATTATTGCTTGTTTTAAATGAATTAGCAAGTGAATAAAATACTGGTTAGTTTACAACCATCCACTTGGCCCAGGGTTCAATCCTCCGTCGACTCACTCCTAGATCTCGCTTAACCGGTAGTAAGTACCGTAAAAGAAGGGAAAGTTAGGCACCACTACTTCTGAAACTTCATAGCTGAAGCTTGAAGCCACTTGAAAAGCGATGGGATGAAAATAGTTTAGGAAAAGCAGTGTTTATCGCTAAACATTTTTATACATTCATTGAAAGTCCGTTGACTCCGAAGTCTTCGTTAACTGGAACTCATCTTAAATGGAATAGCATCAACCCCTTGATCCAACATTTCGAATTAGATAAGAAGGAAGCTATAGACCTTTACTGCGAAAAGTATTCAGATCACAATTGAAGAACGCTAGCAGTCATTTTACATGATAATTAGATTGATAGTCACTCAAGGTTAAACTGGATTTACCACAGAACCATGAAATATTTAAAATGCATAGAAGGGATGTGAAACTGGTAACATACATCCACGAGAATAGTCAGCAAACATCAGAAACAACTATATACATCTTTATCATTTATTTGTAGAATGGAATAAGGAAAAGGATTTAAATTCATGTGAGAACGGAGTGTGCTTCATGTGTACTTACCCCAAGAAGGATTAGTGTTGGTATTGTTAACAGATAAATATCGATTCCATGAAAAAGCCAAAATCTAACAAGAAAAACACAAAAAAATTAAAAGAAGAAATAAGGTGATTATTTAAAATCAAATGACTTAAAATAGACGATTAGAGTCTATTTCATTCATACTTTTCTGCCACAAGTAACTGATGTAATTCAAGCCTACATGATTCATTGCTTATACAGAAGATGCAGTAAAATTAGACCTCAGGTCCAGTGGATTGTGCTACGCTACTTGTAGCAGAATAACAATTGATCACCAAATCTTTCCATGAGTAATCTGTTTGCAGTTTGGATACTTGTTTGAGTATTTCGAGAAATTCTGTAATTATTAACCTTTTCCTATAATATATTCACATCTTCGTTTGACTTATTAATTCCAATTATTTTTCTTTGGTTTTAAATGATTCCTGTTTTCAGTGTTTCACTTTGCTGTTGTGTGACTAGGTTATTAGTAATATATATTGTTGTTCTACGACTGAGATTTTGTTTAGCCGGAGTCAAGGTTACTGCTTGACCTTCGAATTAAAGCGTACTTCATTCTGTTCGATTTTTTCGGCCGAAAATTTTGTTCCCACCTTGTTGGGAATATTCTGCCCAATTCTCAGACAGTTAACAACTATGTCTGTAACAACAGAAGACAAGGGCCGGGGACAGATCGTTTTATTACGGAAATCAGCACTTATTTATACATATTTCATGTACATTATTATAGCTTTATTCAAGCAGACAAACACAGTCTTCTGACCGGCTGTTTCTGGTTTCTCGGAAAATTAAGCCATATATTTGCGAATCTTATTTGCCCACGTTAAGTCTGCTGTGATTGGTTGTTGAATCAACCTTGTTCATATTTTCTTACGGCCAATATTAGTGACCTAGACATTGACGTAAATTAATGTCTACCAAATGGCTAGCAGCCTGCTCTCACCACATGTCTATTTAAATATTTCTGTTGTGTAGTTGGTATTTTGAACCTGAGAAATTTTTCGACTGTACAGCTTCCTGACTTCATTGTTGAGATAGTTTTGTATCTTTAATGTACAAGTTATTATTGTCGTTGTTATTACCACAGATTCTATCATATCAAAGCGTCGTCTAGTGTTGTTTGAACACTATTTCGGCCTGTGCTTCATTCACTTGAGGGAGTTTGACAGGCTACATACAAGCGAAAACGCATCATCTGTTTCCCTGAATTCAGACAGGAATACTTGGATGGTCGTCAGTACTTTACCTTATCCGATTTGAGATTATGAGTGACAGTAATTACTGACACAACCAGTGTGTCTAGAAGTAGTGAATAGAAATTCCCATTTAGCGAAAATCAAGAAGTTGTTATTAAAATAACTAATGTTAACTAACTCCAATCACTACCCAACACATTTTGTAACTTTGACTCATAAGAGAATATTAATATCTAATGCAGTGAAATGGTGACTGAAATTAAAATTTATAAGGAAAAACTGAATCATTGCAGGATTCGAATAATGATCCCTCGGACTTATCTGTTATCTGCTCTGAACAGACTAGCCTGCTTTAATCTCTGGGCAACTCAAATTTCCATCCAGCACAATGCGTCGTATTTGCTCTAATTCTTATTTTTCTTAACCATTTAGTCATTCATGTCCGTGAATCATAAAATGTACTCATACACATTTTTAATTTACTATTAAACTACCAGTGCGCATATCACGGAGACAAAGGAGAAATGTCATAAGGGATTAATCTATGCTTTAAATCGAACAGCACAGTGTCATATGATATACTATACATTGCTATTTAACTTGAAGATACTGGATGAGGGGAAGCTGTTGTGCAATAAATTACACCGAGAACGCTGCATATTATGACTACAGTGAAATTATCATTATTATTACGTGGTGTGAAAGGTGACAGACATTTGAAATTTTTCACTGATTTTCACTTTATTATATTATTATTATATCCTTTAGTTCCTAGAGGAACATAGGGCTGCAGCCGCGCGTCTCCATTGCTTTCGGTTTTCTGCCAACTTTTTCACCCCGCTCCAGGTCTGCCCACACGCTTTCATCTTCTCTTCACATGACCTCCTCCAAGTCACCCTTGGACGACCAACTCACCGCTTCCCTTTCGGGTTCCACTCGAGGGCTTGTCTAGTGATGTCTCTTGATGGTTTCTTTGCTCAGAGTATGGCCAGCCAATCCATCTCCATTTCATCCTGCCTATTTGTTTCACAATCGGTTCCTGCTGGGTTGGTTCGCTCATTGCCAGAGATCCCTCCCTTTGGCTGATCTTTTCTGGCCAGCCATCTGATATTGGGCGAAGTACTGAGCGAAGACAACTGTTAATCAAGGTCTGAAGTTTGTTTGAGATGCTCTTTATGACGCGTTGGCCAAGTCTCTGATCCGTATAGTAAGTAGCACTGACTTCACATTGGAGTTGAAAATCCGGATGTTATTTTTGATGGTGAGTGATGTTGACCTCCTGCACACAGACTTAAGAGTAGTGAAAGCTTGTCTTGCTTTTCCGATTCTGGCTTTGATATCCTCGTCAGATACGTCCGCCTGTAGTTGAAACGATGCTTCCCAGGTAGGCAGGTGGTAGATGAAGGAGGTTGTTTCTTTCAGGTTCCTCCCATTTATGCAGGCTGATTGTTGTCTGTTGTTGTTGTCGCTGCTGTTGGTGTTGGCCAGGAATCTTCATCACCTCTGTTTTATCTATGTTCACTTGAAATCCTATCTTCTCTGGAGGCTTCTTCTGCCAGCTTGTTGCTTTTCACTTGCATATCTTCCAGTTTGTGGGAAATCACACATATATCATCGGCGAAGTCCAGATCCTCCAAGTTCTATTTTTGCGTGAGTTCATTTTATGCCTGTTCCCTCGTTGGTTGCCGTTGTCTGTCACATTATGCAATCTACTGCAATTCATTTTTCACTTTATCTTCAGTTATTTTACCCTCACATAAATAAGAATCAGTTGATTAACTTAAAACCAATGGCATTCAGCCTGAAGGCGAACAAAAACAACAGCTGACTATTATATCTGGATTATAACAAGTTATAACAAGAGTGTTTGTTCATTTTTAAGTATAAGATCGATAGTTGGTCAACTCACGTAATTAGTTAGCTAGTTACAGTTCAAAAGCACGTTTTATTGATAATATGAATAAAAATGCACTAATAAATTAAAATGTTGATAAAATTAGGAGCATTTATGAGACAATTAAAGATAGCTAAAACTTTGATGACTGAGGTAGACAAAGCGTCTGAACGAACTTCTTCTGAACACATAAGTTAGGCTTCTTCTGGTGGATTCCGGTGGCTATTTGAGCAAAAGACGAACCCATCAGGAAAAATTAAGATTAGTTGGAATATGGTAAGTAAACAACCTTAAATAAACAACCTTGTTAACATCGACTTTGCATGTGCATGTTTAAGCCAGGGACAAACAAGGTGTAATCACAGCTCTGTTTTAGCTCATCTTGAAGATATTGTACATACAAAGTCGATGTTAACAAGGCCTTAAAGGTTATCTACTTACCATATTCCAACTAACCTTAATTTTTCCTGATGGGTTCGTCTTTTGCATAAATAGCCGCTGGAATCCACCAGAAGAAGCCTAACTTATGTGTTCAGAAGAAGTTCGTTCAGACACCTTCTCTATCTTGGTCATCATTTTTTGATTGTAATAACCTAATAATTCCTTCTTCCCTCTGAATCAGCCAGTCAATCACTCTGTGTATTAATCATCTGACTGGTAGGTATGTGTCTGTCTACCTGTCTGTTTATCTATCGTCTCCGCTCAGTCAGACGCGATGTGGAATTAGTCACAAGCATAATTTTTATGTGCACTAATTCATTTATCGAAATCACTAAGACGGCAGAAACAGATAAAATGCATTTATTTAAATCGATGCTGAATATTGAGTGCAGAAGTGTTCCCAAGAATGTGTTATACATTCCATAAGGTATAATAATTGAATGTGATGTTGAATTTTATCTAGTATCATTGAAATACAATAGAAAATTTTGTCCAGGTATTGATTTGTAGGGATTTGTTTGGTTTCAGGATTTTATAATGAGCTGACATCCGTTAGGTAACCATTAGGATTCCTCAGGGTACTGAACAGTTGTTTCATCCAAGTCTCTTAGGACTCATCATCAGCAGGCACCCACCATAAGGATACGAGTTACGATCCTATGACCCGTGAATATCAACTCCCACTAACTCACGATACAGCGCCACCACTAGTCAGTGTTATCAGAGAGTATTTGTCCTCACACCCGACCCACTGTACCACACTGGTAACAGCTTCCCACCATTCGCTAGTGATCACTCTATACCGTGAGTTAGTGAGAGTTCAGATTTACGGGTCATTTGATCGAGTTCTACTATCTGAATGGTCTACGAGCTCGCCTTTTAACCGGAAGGTCCTGAGCTCGAACCCCCGTGGTGGGTGTCTACTGATGATGAGGTCCAGAAGACCGATACGAAACAGCTGTCCAGTATTCCCAGGTTTTCCAATGGTTCAGCTGGTGATGAAAACCTGTAACCAAAAAATGATTGGTTTTCTCCTCTATCCAGTACATGAATTATCAAAAGTGTTTACGATGTCAGTACTTCCCTGATGACTGCAGAATGGATACCATGTGACAGGCAGTACCATATATATGCTTTCATGCCATAATCATTAATTGTGCGGTGAATAGTTGTATACCATGATATTCAAGGAACCATACTTTGTAGTACTTCAGATTTAAAATTTGTCGAAAACACTTTTACCTGCTTAGACGTTATGAAAATTGATTTTAAGTATACAAAAGCCGATCCTTTTGATTTAGCACTTTTCACTGCAATAAATTATACAATAATCAATAATCTTTATCAATGTATGAGTAAACTTCAATAAAACAAAACTTACTCTGTAGGATATTTAATAAAGTTTATTAGTGCACGAATTGATATGAGCACTGTGGGTAGACCTGGACATGCGGATGACATAGACGAGCGGAGTGGGTGGGATGAGTGAAGGCAGTACGAAACAAAGAGAGAAAATAAAAAATTCAAACATAGTCAATAATTACCAAGTGTTGGTTTGTAAATGTTTGATTGGTTACAGGATTGGTCAAGAGCAGGGATCCTTTAGAGAGCCACTGGAATACTTGGGAGTATAGGAGAACCGTTTTGTCCTAGTTTTGGACTCTTCAGAAACATATTCCCACCAGGATACGAATCCAGGACCTCCCGGTTGCGAGGAGAGCTCGTAGACCATTCAGACACTGGGACCCGACTCAGTGGTCCATGAATTGCGAAGTCTACCAGATCGTGATATATGAATGGCGCAACCACTAGCCAATGTCAAGGGCAAGTAGCTGTCTTCTTGTCTGACTTGGTGAACCCCACTGATGACGACTTCTCACTGGAACTTCAAGTTCTTCTTGTAGAGGGTCCGTAGCTGGTGAGCATCAGATTAAATGTCAAATGTTGGTTTACAGGGATTTGAATGGTTACAAGATTGATTGGTAGGCCCTGGATTCCAACCCCGGTTAGCACTTATTTCTGAAGAGTCCCGAACCAGGACGAAACAGTCGTCCAACACTTCCAGGTTTTCCAGCTAAAGGCAACAATGTAAAACGACAGTTAAAACATCTCACTGTATCAGTAAATCTTCCACACTGTATTTTTGGTACAAGTATGGAATTTTCAGCATGGATATCGGTAGCCCAAATTTCGCAGGCTGACCATAGATATCAGGTGTTCGTCGGCAGGAGATCGAACCTCGGACCATGTGCATGGTCGGCGAGAGTCCTAACCACTGTGCCACCGATGCACTGACGATTATTCACATGAAGATGGTCTTAGGAGTATCGGAACACAGAGTCCACAATCAATGGGATTTTTTTAACAATTAAAACAGAAATATTTTGGCATTAGTTAAATTAAAATTTCGTCTACTTCAGGCTATAGTGTGAAACAGTTTACACAGCCATCTACTGCTGTTCATTGGCTTATCAAAAGTGTAGCGATGAAAAATTGCTACACTTCTGCAGCATTGGTTCTACGCACTGTGTGTAGTGTCATTTCCGAATACAGTTCAAAATATTATGGGACGTTTGGTGAACTTCCTTTTAGCTCACTGAAGGTCAGTGGAGAGTTGCCCAAAGACGACTGACTCTTCAACTTCCATAAGCTAGGCTTGTCTTTTTATACACTCGCCTTCACTTCTAGTTGGATGGAACAGGTGAACAGTGTTTACTAATTAGCAGTGTATTTACAAAAATTTACAATCAAGGGGCCTATTTGAATACCATGTAAAAATCAATTATCCCACACTGAACGCTGTGTAATGCAACCTAAGTTGGTAATGAAAATATAGAGCTAAAATGAGTGCAAAACTCTGCTGTTATGTGGTTTAAATATTAATTTATCTCTAAGGTTTCTCATATACAGTTAAACAGTATTATTTACTGCATGACCAAGTTTCAAACACAATTTATTGTCTATAATTATTTCATCACTTTGGAGTACAGAGCCTCAAAACCTGATTTGTAAAGTTCTCTTTCTCCCTTTCTTCCTATTCGTCTTAAGGGTAGCAGTGTTTTCCAGATGTTCCGGCTGGTAGATGTTGCATCATCCCTATTATCGGTTACTCTCAGTTGATTCGATAAATATAGCTTCACTTATCGGTTTCTCCCTCCTCTCAGTTCCATTAGATTTTAGGATTGTCACTACTCTCCCATCCTACTTAATAATTGTGTGTAACTGCGTAAATGTAAGTACAAACTATTGCACTAGAGTTACATTCAGTTTCTCTAATTTTCCCGTTTTCAAAATGAATTTATCTACGTGTTCCTTCTGGTATCAAGATAATTATTTCTATTTGATAAAAAAGACTTAATAGGTGTGAGTGATGTCCAGGTGTTCAAAATGTTAAGTAATGTATCAAATGTTTAGTACAAAGAAAGATTCCTCTGAATCTATCATGATCAATCAATAGATTAGTAAGTTAAGAGTGCTTCAAAAGGCAGCTGTACAGGGAGTGAAATTCTTTGCGGAGAGAAGTTTTTTTAGGAAGGTACTTTTCATTATTTGAGGCGGTTGTAAAAACAGATCTATTTGGGATGGTTCAAACCAGAAGTTGCGATCAAATTATATGCGAAGAATAGAGTCAAATAGAACAAGATAAAAAGCTTCGTGATGTACACTATCGGATGGTAACAGAAGTTAGGAACCAGTCTGACCATTTAGGAATGTTTACTAACCAAATCAAGCATAGTAAGTCACCGGTGTTTCGCTTGTTCGGTGTCAAATTTATTAAATATATACAGTCGAAGTAATCGGCGCAGTCAATAATTCATTTCAGACAGAATCCTTATTGAGCTCTGAATGGAACCACACATATATGTTTATTCCTTACCACCATTCAGTACTACGAGGAAGAAAATGTGGGATCGTCCATGCCTATCTACGCTTAACATCTAACATAAAATGCCGATATCCACTAGCGTGTGTTGCGATTCTTTATCAGTAATTCAGTATGCTTAGTCGATAAACTGCGCTCAGTTCAATTAAGACTATTTGCCCAACTGTCTGTAGTATCCTTCGTAAAGGATATGATGAGTAAAGGCAGAGTTAAGGACCAAGTGATTGAGTGTTTTCAGTCTCACTATCCATGAAACTCACTTAATGGGGTGCAAACTACAGTTACAGAGTTCGAACCAATGAACCCTGAGAAGCACTGATTTTCGTCAGCTTCATTTGTTAGACTGATGACGATCAATAAACTGCTGTTTAAAGACTGACAATTTCAATGCCATTTTGGATGCGATGATTGCAGGTGAAATGTAGATTACTGAGGTAGGTTAAGTCTACCGACTAATTAATTTCATATACATAAAAAGGGATTAATTTCATGAGTTCGCTGTCAATCATTTTAGCTAAATTTTGCAACTTATTCCTTCCTGACTGTTAATATTACTATTATTCCTTTGGGTTCCCAGTGAAACACGGGCTTCAGCAGCACAATTCCATTTCATCCCGTTCCCTGAATTCCTCTTCAGCTGCCTACACGATCACCCATTAGCTCTCATCTCCTCCTATGGTCTTCTTCATGTCAATTTGAGATCCACACACACACAACTCATTTCAGAACAATAAAGTCCTGTTTGGCTTAACCTATTCTGACTGACTTTGACATCCTTATCTGTGGGGACTGCCTGTGGTTGAAACTACGCTGCCTAGAGGTGACTTCCTTCAAATTTCTTCTGTTGATGGTGATTGGGGTTTGCTGTTGCTGCTGTTGTTGGATTCTACTATATGAAATCCTAGAACAATGCTCCACCACTAGTCTTCCGAGATTTAGTTCGTTTGTGTATGGCCTAACATGTACATTGGGTATGTCGATTGATTTCCATACAGAAATTAGTCACTCACTTCATTATCTAGTGGTTAGTACATCAGCTTTCTCAAAGGTTTCAGATATGCTTCACTAATGAGTACTGGGAAACACGAAAGGTAGGTCATTCAGTACACTAACTTCTTTCAACTGATTCATGAAGTGTGGTACTCAGTCTTGATTATTATACACTTTTTCTGATTATAGGCTGCATTTGTTCATTTTATCAATTTCCGGAAGACAGAATTCACCAGATATCAGGCGGATAACATAATGTGATCTGATCTGCGGTGGGATTTCACCTCCTGGAAATGTGTAAATTACAGATTAATTTGTAAATCGTGAATTTCAAATATGGTATTTCCAGTTTGTTGAAACGGCTAGTCAGAATTTCGAGTGATTTCAACTGATTCGGACTTCTGAACTGAGTCATACTCGGTGAAACAGTGATAGACTCAGCCGCAAAACGAACAAAAAGGCCTTTGGGTGCCTGGACCACTTCCATCTGACTATTGGTTGGCGTGAGTGGTAGACAACTACTGATCTCAATCAATCAGTAGTAAGTGATTTTATGCAATTATGCTTACCTTCTTGGTTACCGTTTATAGTATCAAGGAGATCACATATTGTGGTGATCTGCATAGTTTCCAAAAGAAACCGAGGTAGTGAAATTTCACCTTGATCTATGCAGAATGCAAATTAATTTGCAAATTGTGAATACGTGATAAAATTCACCACTTATTTCCACCTTTATTTAAAACCTAACTAAAGTCTAAAGGTTACAGTCGAAGCAATTTATACGTTCAAAAAAATGTAAATCAATTAGGATATTCTTGTAGCCATTCGAAAAAAAGAAGATCAATACGAATTCATTAAAGAACTGTAGATTTCAACTGAGCATATAAATAGTGGACACTAAAATGATTCATTATCTTCAAATTAATAGCATCAATATTATGTGGCTTAGATTTTAATTAATTTTTAAAAAAGGCATAGTTTGTCTGGAGTAAAATAAAAATCAATTATAACTTTCTTTATTTCTTAAAGAAGTTGTGATTAATTCAGAATAATTTAATGGATATTAACTGGAGAAAATCAATATATGTATACACCTATACTGTGTCCCACTACAAATGAGAAAAACATTAAATTTTTCCACTAAGGTTACAGAGAAGGAAAATATAAAAGTTTCAATTGAATATTCATTGAAGTTGGTTCGAAAGAGGTCATAGAAAAAAAATATATTATTTCATACTATCTCTAATTATTATTGTTATTCCCTTGGAGTTCAAGTGGAACACAGGGCTTCAACAACACATCTCCATTTCATCCTGTTCTCTGCACTCCTCTTTAGGTAGCTCAACTACATTCCTTATAAGCCTTCATTCCCTGCTCATACGATTTCCTTGACGTCATCATCACACAAAAATCACTCACTGTTTCCCATCCGGATTCCACAGGAGGTCCTGACTGACACTTGGTGTCGGTGGGTGTCCGATTCATCTACATTTCCTTCTGCTCGACTAGACATCTGATTTTCAGTAAGGAGGGAAGAGGGTGGCTGTTCTTGAAAATCTGAAGAAGTCTGTAGGAAATGCTTTTTGTGAAAAGCGCGCCAAGGTCTTGGACCACATGGGAGCACTGAGTGACTTGACTATGTTGTTGAAAATCTGAATCTTGTTCTTTTTTATGAGTTTTCTGAGATTTCCAAACTGATTACAGGATCTTTGACATCCTCATCCGTGCCGACCGCCTGTGGCTGAAATGATACTGCCTAGATATGTGAAAGAAGTGACTACCTTCAACCTACTGACTCATCATAATCAAAAATTTAAGTGATCCAACGTCAAGTTATGAAGATCAGTATTGAAACAATGCTTCAAAGTACAGTGTAAGTTGATATGGTGGCAAATTTGCCCTTTTTAATCAAAGGAACATCACAGTGGATGACACTGCATAATAGAATACTAGTGTTGATAAAAGTTAGTAGTGGTTAGAAATCGTTCATATTGATGACTTGTATTCATCAATAATTCTAAGTAAACAACTGAGAAGCGTAGCTTCTTTTCATACATAAAAGGTAACTATTAAGATAGGGTTTAGATTATTTTCATCTGCTTGAGTAAACACCACCAGCAGTATTTTGGGAAGGTGGATTCTAGCTACTTATTTCTATCAGTAGTGTAGATATATACATGGTTCCCTTTCTTCCATTAGCTTTCTTTAATTCGTTATGAATAATCAGGAGGGTATATGATTCCTTGCATGAACGTTTTGATACCCCTAGACCAAGTGCCAGTAAAGTTTCCAGTTGCTTTTTGACCTGAGTACTGTCTTAATATTCAAGGCTTGGTTGCGGACAGGATTCAGGTAGAGGACTATTGAAAACCACGGACAATCGTTTCGTCCTTGTTTGGGACTGTTCGGTAGCATATATCCACGACCCCACTGGCGACAGCACTCAGAACTTTGAGGCTAAAAGTCAGGCTTATTGATCATTTACAGTCATCAGGATGGAATCAAAAAACCGATCTATTCTAAATTATGCTAACTGGCTATTTTGGGGGTGGGGGGGTGCAACCACCAGCCAGTGTCATCGGTGAGCATTTATCTTCACACCCAGCTTGCTGGCTATGACTTTCCACCAGAACTTCAGGCAGCTTCATCCTGTAGTTTATTACGCACTGAAAATCTGACTTCTAATGAGCTCTCAATTAAATAGTTAGTGTTGCTTGGTTCTGTTTGTCATTCGTGGAACTTAAACTTTATAGGTTCTACTTATGACTTCAATTCTAATTAAAAATTAATTTAAAACGAATTCCCTCTCGAGCTATATATATATATATATATATATATATATGTATATATGTTAACGCTGTCTTCAGTTGTTCGGCCTTAGGTCGCTTACACACTGTACTTCTGATTTCCAGATGTTTCATTGTCCTCCTAGACATCAACATTTACACAAATTCACTTGGGAATGAAGTAAATTCACGAAATATGAATATTTTCAACAATTTAGCCATCTGATTAGGCAGAAGGAGTAGCGAAGACAGGACTTCAAGTGAGCGTAAAGAAGACGAATGTGATGAAGATATCTAACTAACAGTAAAAGACACCAACCACCATCAGTGGCAGAGATTTAAAGGAATCCCAATCTTTCACATATCTAGGTAGCATCGTCTAAAATCTAGTGCACTTAGTATATGGGATAAGATTCAGATTTTCAGTACTAATATCAAATCAGTCACTGGTGCTATATAGTTTAGAGACTTGGTGGACGCTTCACGAAAATCATTTTCAGCAGTTCACTGAGGGCTTTCATCAACAGTCACCTCTTCCCCTCAATATTGGAGATCCGGCTGCCGGGAAGAAAGGATTGTCAACAACCAGAATCTATGAAAACCGACCAAATAAGATGGATCGAACATACGCTGAGGAGACTGCTTAGTGATATCACGCACGAGGGCTTTGCTCGAATGGAAACCGAATCCGACACCACGAGTTGGGCATAAGTCCAAGAGTAAAATAGATGAGATGAGAGATAATGGGCAATTGTCGAGCAAGCTAAATAGGACTTCTGAGAACAAAGTGCCAAAGAGATGTTCTGTAGAAGCCCTGTGTTCCAATCCAAACCCAAGGAGTAACAAATAAATGAATAATGTCGCCAGGACGAAGGATAATTTAATACTGAATTTTCAGTTCCTGACGATGTGGTTTGAAAACCTTAACATTTTTAACAACTCAAACCACCAATAACCTCTAATATCAACCCATGGTGGCAAAACTTTCTCCAAATTAGGTCCGCTGACGTTGCTTGTCACCGAATCCCACTAAAACATCAGCATATGATCATAGAAATGACGCGGGTGGGTGTTGATTCAACTCACATTTTATATTTCAAAAAAGATTAGTAAATAAAATTAAAAGAATTAGTACCTTTGAATAAATTTGAATGAGGCATCTAGAAGACAAATTTCACGAGATGATATCGTCATTTCGTAGTTTCCTTACAACCGCTTTACAACTAAAATGGTTCACAATAACAGAATAAAATAAAATGCATGACAATTACTCAGTTATATTGAGCAAAAGTATAGTATATACTAACAAACAATCATATTCATCAAATAGGTCAAGTAGTCCATGCTAGGCAAACATTGAAGTCTATTGTTTTCTGTACCCATAGTTTGGTAGGTATCCATGTGATTAATCTCCCAAAGTGTTTCCATCACCTTCAATAGCGAACCTTGAATTATAGATTATGTGAAATAATTGTGAAACAGTCATTAATATTGACTTTGTGATGAGACATTAATAAATGTTAGCAGATATATTCATGTCAAAATCGGAGAAACAAAGGCAAGGTTTGCTACGAGAATCTATGCTATGTAAACGTTATGTGGACGACGCACTCATTATTGGTAATAAAAGTGAGTCTATTGAAAACTCTATTACTCTACAAAAAATCATATTCATTCAAATAACCGGGTGATTTCCGAACTCGAACCGAATAACCAACTCGGTTTCCCCAATATCTCAATGACTGCGAGGGACGATAAAAGGATTAGGCGATCTATTTTCGTAAGTATACACGATGTGCACAACATTTTTGTTTCACCAGTTTTGTTCCTATCCAGTATTAACGCTCCATAGTGAAATGCAAAATATGCACGAGTGACACATTCATGGATGAGCTTCGACATACACACACACACACATTCAGTTTTACAAGCTAATGGTCATCCAGAAAACTTTATCAGTTGTCATAGTCAGGATAGACCACATCTAGAAAAGACAGCTTCTGTACCAAAAATAGCTATCCTCATTAACCTACCTACTATTCAAGGGTGATCAAAACATGCAGTTCATAGCTGGCTCAAAGACTTCGGTCAGTCATCAAGCTCACATTCTATGCCGCCACATCTCTTTCCCTCACATGACGAACATTTTCCATCCCTGTGCCTACCTACGATTAAAGGACGAAATTCTGTGGACTCTACTTCAAACTGTATCTACAAGTTCACGTGCAGTTCCGGTGACACTTATATATGAGTAGAACCAATAGAATGTTCCAATGTCGTTGGAGAGGACATATTCCTGAGTGGTTACACACAGGTCACACAGAAAACCCAAACGTACTTAACCTGAATAGAAATGCAGAATCATCGATTGCAAAGCACTCATTAATAATGTCTCATCACAAAGTCAACATTAATGACTGTTTCACAATTATTTCACATAATCTATAATTCAAGGTTCGCTATTGAAGGTGATGGAAACACTTTGGGAGATTAATCACATGGATACCTACCAAACTATGGGTACAGAAAACAATAGACTTCAATGTTTGCCTAGCATGGACTACTTGACCTATTTGATGAATATGATTGTTTGTTAGTATATACTATACTTTTGCTCAATATAACTGAGTAATTGTCATGCATTTTATTTTATTCTGTTATTGTGAACCATTTTAGTTGTAAAGCGGTTGTAAGGAAACTACGAAATGACGATATCATCTCGTGAAATTTGTCTTCTAGATGCCTCATTCAAATTTATTCAAAGGTACTAATTCTTTTAATTTTATTTACTTATTTTTTTTGAAATTTAACATGTGAGTTGAATCAACACCCACCCGCCTCACTGCCATTATCATCCGCTGCCAGCCAGAAATCGGGTGGTTTCTACTTAGCTGAGTCGAACTCCATTAACCGCTGATTAGGTCGTCTCTGAAGGAATGAAACATACGTCCGATGTTTAGATCACTTCATTCTTGCCACCTATCAAACACCACTGGCTCAAATATGTGACACAGAACTACTCATCTCAGTCAAGCAGTAGTATATATTGTTATGCAATAACAAATAATCAATATGAAAATGTATATTTCAAAGAAAAAATTGACTCACCCCATCCAATTAGTGCACACGGCCAAAATCTCATTTTTTCAACCCAAAATGCACAGTAAACAATTAGGCATAAATACAGGCCTTCAATAAACATCCATACAAATATTGCTAGTGAACCAAATGCTTGTAATGATATAGTTATGTTTAATAAACTCTAGATAGGTGTGTTTTCAAAAGACAAAAGAAGAGAAACACAGGGAGAAACAGTTGAAAAAAAACAGTGTGAATAAAATTCATTTAATCGAAAAATTCTAGGCCATATACAATATTAATAAAATGGCGGTATAAAATTGTAGTAAATATTCAACCTGATACATACTGGTAGTAGGTGACAAGATTTACAATTGATGAATGCTTTATCCTGTTGCTAGTGTATATATACTCTTATATAATGTTTAAGATCACATATAACTATTGGCAACATTAACAACAGAAAATAAAAGATACACATCCAGCTGATTGATGAGTTGTCAGAGGGATAAAATGACAGACGCTGTAGCAGAATATCTGATGACCTCAAAATACCTTTATGAACAAGGTATTTACAATAGTGATACTTGTCTGAGTATTCCAACTAAAAATTCGAGTTTAGTGAGCAAAGAATATTTTTTTTACGAGCTGATCACGGATTGATATCAGTTAGAGAACCATTGAAAACCAGGGAGTACTGGACAGCTGCTATTTCATCCTAATTTGGGAATCATCGTCAGGTTCGAATCCCAGTGGGTGCGTACTGCTGATGATTCCTACATTAGGATGAAATAGCAGCTGTCCAGTACTCCCTGGTTTTCAATGGTTCTCTAACTGATATCAATCCGTGATCAACTCGTAAAAACATAACAAACCCTTACAAACCAAACTATAAAAGAATATTCTTTTCAAGAACTCTTTCTACAGTTTCATGTCCGTAATAAATAAAGCAGTATTTTTATTAACAACATTAGTATTTTAAATTTTCACTGAACCAACAGTATCGATAGATAACAGTTTAAAAGCTTCTGTAATTCATAAAATGCATCAATATAACACTTAATTGAATATCAGATATATTAGGAAAAATAATACGTATTTTATGAATTTATAGCCTCCATAACAGGCCATTATAGCAATAGTGGCTAGGCCTATTTCTTCTGCACACAAACCTCTAGTTATTTATTTTAAGGGAAGTGTAGTGGTCTCTGCTGTTTGGAGTATTCGGTAATTGGAGTCTGTTGGTAAGGTATTCGGTATTCAGCAGGTATGATATGAAAAGACTGTTCAGTGGTAAACTTGTAACCTCTCCAGAAAATACAAATGAAGATTAACTTCATGCTGTCTGTGTATGACACGTGATCAGAAAACAGATACCATAAAAAAGCTCATCATGAAATAAATGGCCAAGAGTGTAGAAAAGAATTCTTCTGTATCTGTTAACAAGAAATCTCTGTATACATGACTTCAATTTAAAGGTGATATACCAAGCGAAATAATAACCAGCAAGTTGAGAAAATCGATTCAAACAACGTTTAATGATGGTAAGCTGCAGCGTATATAATTAGCACAGCATCAGTTGTGATTCTGAAGCTGAAAGAAAAGGTACTTAGGCTAGCCACCCCTTATTGGACCTATCAGTCCAACTGCTTCTCTGCAGCCAGCTATTTTGGCCGTTGTTCTACTTGCTTAATTTTTAGTACTCGGGAAAACACTTTGGCTTGGCTAAATAAGGGAGTAGTTAAGGCCCTCAACAACTATGTATTATTCAAGTATCGGTTTGTTGAGATTTGATTGATTGGTTGCAGGATTTAATCATCAGCTGACATCAGTTAGAGAACCATTGAAAAACCTGCGAGTACTGGACAGCTGTTTTGTATTGGTCCCTTGGATCTCATCAGTAGTAGACACCCACCACGGGAGTTCGAACCCAGGATCTTCTGGTTACAAGGAGAGATCATGCACCATTAAGCCACAGGGACTCGACCCAATGGGGCATGAATTACAATTTCTGTATTAGATCACCTCGTCCAAACAGGCCACAAAGCAAGAAAGGAGGCATCTTTTCCTATCGTCTTTTGGGTACCGAATGAATCGCCAAAAGCCCCTAAGTACTTAATAGTTCAAACATCAAAGGCCATTGCAATTCTCCCATAACAACTAGAGGTCTGAGTGCGAAAGGTACAGATTCAGCCACTATTGCTACCCTAGCATACTGTGGAACCTAAAATTTCATAAATTCCCTCCTATTTTTCTTAATTTATCTCATACTCCGTAGTGTTATATCGGTGCGTCTAATCACTTACATATGCTTTTGAACTGAAATCTATCGATTTTATCGATTAGCTGTTACTTAAAATTCATAATTGTCGTAATTCACAATAATGTTTTACTCATAATGGATATTATAATTAACTGTAGAACCGTATTAGGGAGTTATCGAAGGGGACATTCTTTGTTCCCTGATCAGTCTTTTGAAATTTTTGTTGGACGTCTTTAATTGATTAGAATATTTCAGCTAATTTTTCAATTATTACACTTTATTTCCTGAGCTGTATGTTATCATCGTTATTACATTTTCATGCCTTCTTCTGACCTAACTCTTATTTATTTATCTTTGCTTTTAGTTTATTTCCTAACTCCTTATAACTCTTGTATTTCTTCCGAATGATTCCATATTTTGCCTTGTTTCTATGTCCATCCTGATCAAAACCTACGCATTAAATTATTTGTCTTATTACGCAACTCTGATATATACTTGTTCAACTCCTTTTGTGCATTGACTAACAATGATAACAATGTTTATGACGAACTCATCACTTCAGTTACTGCCCTCTTTCATGAATGGGAAATTGTATATAAATGCGATTGTACAGTACAATAAGAAAATGAATTTGCGGAGAATAGCCCTATCATTGAACTATGTGTTTTGTCATCATAAGTCAAAGTCACTGAGTTATTTAGAAATCTGCTGTGGTAGGCAACATAAATAAATAGGACCAATTGTTAAAGCTATTTGGATAAAAAAGATTTTAAGACTTATCCGGCTAGTATGGCTGAACTAACGAACTGCAAAGACATGCGTGTTACCTACACAAAAGAGAAGTATAAAATAGTATTCAAGCTTGGTCGGATGAGTACCCATTAAAACAAAACTCTAAAATGTCTGAATCATCAGTAGACGAGATACACGTTTATTTATTCTCACATTAAGTTTAATTTGGTAATTTGAAAGGTGAACAGCACCTAGGTGAATTCTTGTGTAGTTTTTAAGTCTGACATTTTGATATTTAAGTGCTGATATTTCCAAACTACTAATAACGGAATTCCTGGTGCTTCTCATTCTATCCGTATTCATATCACTGGTGATAGACAGCATCGACTATCTGCTAATTGTTCTTTGAATTTTCTGTAGTGATTGGATTGATTTTCCGAGGTAGAGTCACTAGCTAACTCTACGTTCAACTTGTTCTCTTTTATAGGCTTAGGACTGCGTAGTAAACTAGATGAGGTTTATTTATGGTCCAAAAAATATACATAAGAAAATGCAGATGGATCAGACACAAACTGCAGAGACAGTTGAGTGGCATTCTGCTCCAGGCCATCGCTAAAGTGGAACCCGAAAGGGAGAAGAAAAGTTACGTGTTGACCGCATCGTATTCTGTTGTGAATGCCGTATTGAACTATGGGAATATTTGGGAGTCAAATTCCGTTGGCATACATTGTCTTTATCACACCATCACATTCTTATTATATGTCAACCTTTGTAATTTACACTAAGCCTATCATGTCTCTAGTATTTTTTTTATAGTTTACAATGCAACCTCTTTATTTTGTCACTACACTTGGTATCTGTCAGCCGTTGAACTTACATTCAGTGCTCCCCGTTTTTGGTATATGTTTGTGTGAAACTAACATTCTGTTAATTATAAATACATTATATATACACAAACGTATATGCATTACATGGAATAGACAATATATTCATTTCATCAGTTTTGTTCCTATCCAGTATTAACGCTCCATAGTGAAATGCAAAATATGCACGAGTGACACATTCATGGATGAGCTTCGACATACATACACACACACATTCAGTTTTACAAGCTAATGGTCATCCAGAAAACTTTATCAGTTGTCATAGTCAGGATAGACCACATCTAGAAAAGACAGCTTCTGTACCAAAAATAGCTATCCTCATTAACCTACCTACTATTCAAGGGTGATCAAAACATGCAGTCGATAGCTGGCTCAAAGACTTCGGTCAGTCATCAAGCTCACATTCTATGCCACCACATCTCTTTCCCTCACATGACGAACATTTTCCATCCCTGTGCCTACCTACGATTAAAGGACGAAATTCCGTGGACTCTACTTCAAACTGTATCTACAAGTTCACGTGCAGTTCCGGTGACACTTATATATGAGTAGAACCAATAGAATGTTCCAATGTCGTTGGAGAGGACATATTCCTGAGTGGTTACACACAGGTCACACAGAAAACCCAAACGTACTTAACCTGAATAGAAATGCAGAATCATCGATTGCAAAGCACTCATTAATAATGTCTCATCACAAAGTCAACATTAATGACTGTTTCACAATTATTTCACATAATCTATAATTCAAGGTTCGCTATTGAAGGTGATGGAAACACTTTGGGAGATTAATCACATGGATACCTACCGAACTATGGGTACAGAAAACAATAGACTTCAATGTTTGCCTAGCATGGACTACTTGACCTATTTGATGAATATGATTGTTTGTTAGTATATACTATACTTTTGCTCAATATAACTGAGTAATTGTCATGCATTTTATTTTATTCTGTTATTGTGGACCATTTTAGTTGTAAAGCGGTTGTAAGGAAACTACGAAATGACGATATCATCTCGTGAAATTTGTCTTCTAGATGCCTCATTCAAATATATACATTAGAATGTCACTCAGTTTTCTATTCACATTTTTAATGCTATATTCCTAATGACAGCACATTTTATATGGGTTCATTCAGTAGTATTTACTAATGACTCTCATTTATCTCATAGGTTTACTCCGAATCATTTTCTGATTTAATTTTTGTTTGCTATTACTGGCTATTAGTATGCTAATATTCATGGATTTATAACTGTAGGGACTGGAGAAGAAGCTGTCAAAACTCTGGTTCTCTGAAAACCGTCT